ATATATTTATTTACTTATTTATCTTATATATATTAACTATATATATTTGACATGCTTCTGCCTGTTTATTTTTAATCTTCGTTTGGCTGAAATTTTTTATCGCTTATATTTGTAACGGAGTTTTTAATTTATGTTTTTTACGTAATATATCTTATTGTAAACTTTTTAAAGATATTTGGCTTTAAATATTATTGTTAAAGGGGCTCTATGAAAAGATTGTGGTGACACCAGTCATCCAGATTTTCTTTGAGCCCCTGTCTGTTTATATATATATATACACTTTGTTTAACGTAAAATTTTCTTTGTAATTTGATTATTTGATTATTATATGAACAGCGAAATATATATTAAAAAAAAAAAAAATAAAAAAAAAGCTTTCAATCATCTTGATAAGTATTTCAAGCGACAGTTTGGTTCTTGTTTTAACACTTTGTGACTAGTTTTTTGCTTTTTTGTTAATTGAAAATCCATCCAGCTCCATAATTTTTCAAAATGTCACGAAACTCATATAGTTTAATGCTCTTTCTTATATTTTATGACAAGCCAACGCCTGAGCTTGATATACCGACTTGTTTGTCTACACGCAAAATATTTATTTTTGCACTTAAAGCTGATACTCCTGCTTTTGTTTTTCGTCTGCTTAACGTTTAAAGCATGTTTTCATTGCATGCTGTTTTTTCGGACGCCCAATACAAAGTTATCATTGACACTACCAGTTGATAAGTAATTGTTTGTTGTAAAAACGCTGAATTCAGAAATATCTAAGCGTCTGCCAATTTATCTATTGCTCATTTTCATTTGATGCATTCCGATGACCTTGCCATTTTGTTTCCGACAAAATAAAACAAAAATAAATATCCAAATGAAATATCTTAAAGCTAACAGACTTTTGAGAGATAAAAATGCAAAAGTCTTTAATAAAAAATTTCTTAAAAAACGAGTTTAACGAGTTTAACTTTTTATATTTTCCTTTTTAAACTTCATTTCAAAAAATTAAAAGGATTTAATTGCTCTGTTATTTTTCCGGAAAAGATCCCCCCCAAAAGAAAAATTTATACAATTTATACAAGCCTGCTGCTATAAGGAGGTGCTGCTACATCAACTATCTTATAGACTGCTGCTACAAGGAAGTGCATCTGCTGAGGGTTTAGCTAGGGCAGGCAGTCTGCATACATCTGCTGAAGGTTTGGCTAGGGCAGGCAGTCTGCATACATCTGCTGAGGGTTTGGCTAGGGCAGGGAGTCATTTTATTAAAAAAAAAATTACGGTTTTGTTTATTATTATTTTTTTTAATTTGATACTTAAAAAAAATTTTTATAATTGTTAAAGGGTTTTTTCTTGTATAAAAAGTATATTTTTGCCATGATTTTGTTGGATTTTTTCCAGGGAGAATTTTTTCCTAAAACCAAAAAAACAAGCGCGTTTAAACTTTCTAGTTAAATGCTCTAACGCGGCGTTTTGTAATAGGTTTATAATAAGAAATTATTTGCATTAGTAATATTTTTAAAAGTTGACATTAGTAAATTCAGTTTTATTTCATTATTTTTACATTAAATGATTTTTATAATACTAAAAACTCTCAAAGAATTTTTGGAGTTTAGGTAACCTTAGCAACAATAAAAAAAAAAAAAAATCAATAGAAATGTTTTCAGCATCATTTTTTTAAATAAAAAATTCATTATGGCTATATTATTTAATGTTATAGTTATATTTAATGTTACTATTTATATTTAATGTTACAGTTATATTTAATGTTACTATTTATATTTAATGTTACAGTTATATTTAATGTTACTATTTATATTTAATGTTACAGTTATATTTAATGTTACTATTTATATTTAATGTTACAGTTATATTTAATGTTACTATTTATATTTAATGTTACAGTTATATTTAATGTTACTATTTATATTTAATGTTACAGTTATATTTAATGTTACTATTTATATTTAATGTTACAGTTATATTTAATGTTACTATTTATATTTAAAGTTACAGTTATATTTAATGTTACTATTTATATTTAATGTTACAGTTATATTTAATGTTACTATTTATATTTAATGTTACAGTTATATTTAATGTTACTATTTATATTTAATGTTACAGTTATATTTAATGTTACTATTTATATTTAATGTTACAGTTATATTTAATGTTACTATTTATATTTAATGTTACAGTTATATTTAATGTTACTATTTATATTTAATGTTACAGTTATATTTAATGTTACTATTTATATTTAATGTTACAGTTATATTTAATGTTACTATTTATATTTAATGTTATAGTTATATTTAATGTTACTATTTATATTTAATGTTACAGTTATATTTAATGTTACTATTTATATTTAATGTTACAGTTATATTTAATGTTACTATTTATATTTAATGTTACAGTTATATTTAATGTTACTATTTATATTTAATGTTACAGTTATATTTAATGTTACTATTTATATTTAATGTTACAGTTATATTTAATGTTACTATTTATATTTAATGTTACAGTTATATTTAATGTTACTATTTATATTTAATGTTACAGTTATATTTAATGTTACTATTTATATTTAAAGTTACAGTTATATTTAATGTTACTATTTATATTTAATGTTACAGTTATATTTAATGTTACTATTTATATTTAATGTTACAGTTATATTTAATGTTACTATTTATATTTAATGTTACAGTTATATTTAATGTTACTATTTATATTTAATGTTACAGTTATATTTAATGTTACTATTTATATTTAATGTTACAGTTATATTTAATGTTACTATTTATATTTAATGTTACAGTTATATTTAATGTTACTATTCATATTTAATGTTACAGTTATATTTAATGTTACTATTTATATTTAATGTTACAGTTATATTTAATGTTACTATTTATATTTAATGTTACAGTTATATTTAATGTTACTATTTATATTTAATGTTACAGTTATATTTAATGTTACTATTTATATTTAATGTTACAGTTATATTTAATGTTACTATTTATATTTAATGTTACAGTTATATTTAATGTTACTATTTATATTTAATGTTACAGTTATATTTAATGTTACTATTTATATTTAATGTTACAGTTATATTTAATGTTACTATTTATATTTAATGTTACAGTTATATTTAATGTTACTATTTATATTTAATGTTACAGTTATATTTAATGTTACTATTTATATTTAATGTTACAGTTATATTTAATGTTACTATTTATATTTAATGTTACAGTTATATTTAATGTTACTATTTATATTTAATGTTACAGTTATATTTAATGTTACTATTTATATTTAATGTTACAGTTATATTTAATGTTACTATTTATATTTAATGTTACAGTTATATTTAATGTTACTATTTATATTTAATGTTACAGTTATATTTAATGTTACTATTTATATTTAATGTTACAGTTATATTTAATGTTACTATTTATATTTAATGTTACAGTTATATTTAATGTTACTATTTATATTTAATGTTACAGTTATATTTAATGTTACTATTTATATTTAATGTTACAGTTATATTTAATGTTACTATTTATATTTAATGTTACAGTTATATTTAATGTTACTATTTATATTTAATGTTACAGTTATATTTAATGTTACTATTTATATTTAATGTTACAGTTATATTTAATGTTACTATTTATATTTAATGTTACAGTTATATTTAATGTTACTATTTATATTTAATGTTACAGTTATATTTAATGTTACTATTTATATTTAATGTTACAGTTATATTTAATGTTACTATTTATATTTAATGTTACAGTTATATTTAATGTTACTATTTATATTTAATGTTACAGTTATATTTAATGTTACTATTTATATTTAATGTTACAGTTATATTTAATGTTACTATTTATATTTAATGTTACAGTTATATTTAATGTTACTATTTATATTTAATGTTACAGTTATATTTAATGTTACTATTTATATTTAATGTTACAGTTATATTTAATGTTACTATTTATATTTAATGTTACAGTTATATTTAATGTTACTATTTATATTTAATGTTACAGTTATATTTAATGTTACTATTTATATTTAATGTTACAGTTATATTTAATGTTACTATTTATATTTAATGTTACAGTTATATTTAATGTTACTATTTATATTTAATGTTACAGTTATATTTAATGTTACTATTTATATTTAATGTTACAGTTATATTTAATGTTACTATTTATATTTAATGTTACAGTTATATTTAATGTTACTATTTATATTTAATGTTACAGTTATATTTAATGTTACTATTTATATTTAATGTTACAGTTATATTTAATGTTACAGTTATATTTAATGTTACTATTTATATTTAATGTTACAGTTATATTTAATGTTACTATTTATATTTAATGTTACAGTTATATTTAATGTTATTATTTATATTTAATGTTACAGTTATATTTAATGTTACTATTTATATTTAATGTTACAGTTATATTTAATGTTACTATTTATATTTAATGTTACAGTTATATTTAATGTTACTATTTATATTTAATGTTACAGTTATATTTAATGTTACAGTTATATTTAATTTTACAGTTATATTTAATGTTACTATTTATATTTAATGTTACAGTTATATTTAATGTTACTATTTATATTTAATGTTACAGTTATATTTAATGTTACAGTTATATTTAATGTTACAGTTATATTTAATGTTACAGTTATATTTAATTTTACAGTTATATTTAATGTTACTATTTATATTTAATGTTACAGTTATATTTAATGTTACAGTTATATTTAATGTTACAGTTATATTTAATGTTACAGTTATATTTAATGTTACAGTTATATTTAATGTTATTTGTATTTTATACTTTCATTGCTCATTCTCTGAAGAGTTTTTTTTTTTACTTTGGAAGGTTTTTGCATTATAATAACCGTTTGTTATAAAAACATTTAAAAGATGTAAAAGTTAGTTATACCTTCTTTGTTTGATGAAAAACTGTAGTATTTCAAATACCTTGATGTATTTTCTACTTGCACAGTGTGTTGGGGAAGTTCAAGAAGATGTAGTATAACAGGATGGTTTTTGTCCCAAATGTAATTTATATGGCGGTTGTCATAAGCATCTTATAATAATGAAAATGCTAAGTTAAAATATTATTATCAACATATATATATATATGTGTGTGTTTATGTGTGTGTGTTTGTTGTGCTTTGAATGCTTGTTAAGTTAAAAAATAGTAAAATTAAAAAAAATAGTTAAAATTAAAACATTAATCACTTACAGCTTTCTATTCCTACTTCACATCGTTGTGTATCCATAGGATAATTACGCAAATTAAACAAACAGTATGATTTAAGTGTAATTCTATAAAAAATTTTAGTTTTATATCTCATTGATTTAGAGTTTACTTGAGAATTTTAGAAAATGCACTTGATAAGAAAACTTTTACTTTTTTATATGTTTAGTCTAATTTATTACCCCGACTTATAATGAAGGCCGTTTGATATATGGAAAATACAAATCAAATGTGGAAAAGAACTTGCTGATCACGTGTGAAAAAATTTACATGAAAATTGATCAATTTTCAAAAGAACATGTTTACTTCTGATTACCAACAATAAAAAAATCTAATTTATAATAATATAAATACTTTAAATAAAAATTGTTAAATTATTTCAAAGCATTCAAAGTTATGCATTCAAAGAGTTTGATATCTATGTTAAGCATTCAAAGATGCAAAGTGCATCTAGCATAATAACACATAATAAAAAAAAACAAATAATCTTATGGCATGAAATATTACCTACATCCCCAAAAAATGGTGCCATTCGGATATATATCAAGTTTATGGTTTCCAACTGTCATTGTATGTATATGCCCACCTAGCATACCACTAAAAACTGTGTCCGGTACCCATATATAAGAGGATGGATGCTTTTTTCCAATTACTGGTATTAGAACAGTACTTAGATTGTGAGCAGCTCTATAGTCAACCCATAGTTGACGTAGGTACATATCCGTCTTGAAGCTCTTATGAAAAATACTTAATTATATATATATATATATATATATATATATATATATATATATATATATATATATATATATATATATATATATATATATATATATATATATATATATATATATATATATATAATATATATATATATATATATATATATATATATATATAAATATATATATATATAGAAATATATATATATAGAAATATATATATATATATATATATATATATAAATATATATATATATACAAACACTGTTATTGGCATATAGGGAAAAGTTGGGTAACCCCGGACAGCGGGTAACTCCGGACACTTAGTGTACAGCTTAACTAAAGAAGTAATGTCATTTTAAATGCTGATGTACAGCTAAACTAAAGAAGCTATGTGATTTTAAATACTATAAAAAACATTATTTGAGTGAAAATATGGCAAATGCAAATTATCTATTATAATATGCCAAAGCTGGGAACGCAAGATATTGTTTTCCACCCCCAGAAGAGCGGATTTATCATCATGTTTGATTCAAATATTGATACACATAATTTTTATGTAAAATAATAACTTTTTATTAATCAAAGATACATTTTTATCTAAAATCCTTATAAAAAAAAAAAAGTTTAATAATTTAATTTACTGGCTATAAAAATTGTATTTATGAATGATGTATAGTCGGGTGGTTTCAGACGCATATTTAGAGGATGGTTCCGAACAATTTAATTTATATACGTATTAAAAATAAGCAACTTTTTTGTATAAATAATAATACATTTAACATAGTACACAAACCCATAATAGTAATTCATTTATTTCTAATAAACAGACCTAAGACAGATTAAAAAATTCTAATAAACAGATTTGAAAAAAGTGTTTTTAAAGTGTTTTATTTAATTTCATTAGTAAAAAGTTAACGACAAATGAAAGTTTGGCAAAACTATTTTATTCAATAAATAAGGACTGCGATAAGAAATAAAATTAGTTTCTCTGGAAGCTAAATTGATTATTATATAAAAGTTTAGTATCAACAAAATAATTGTAGACTCTGTTATACATTATTCTTTCTAGTATTTTAAAGAAAAATGGACGTACTGAAATAGGACGATAATTTGTAATGTTACAATGGTCACCTGATTTATAAATAGGAGTAATTTTTGCTACTTTTAGAGAGTCTGGAATAGATCCTTGAGCAATAGAGGCTTTTCAAATTTTAAAGAGTATATCTTTCAAAACGTCAAAGGAGAAAGGATTATTTCCATCGATGCAATCAGTCCCAGTTTCCTTATTCCGTTTTAATAATTTAAACGCTGCCTCAAATTCGCTGTATGTTAGCTTTGAAAAATTTAAAGTTAAATTAAGTGATGTTATAAACTCATCAATTGATTTGTCAATAAGATAAGAAATTTTATTTGATAAACTTGTTCCAAGTGAAGAAGAAAATTTATTAAATTCAAATGCAATTTTATAAGGGTCATTAAACAATTTAATTTTAATTTTTATTGCGTTTGGTAATATTGCACTTTTCTTATTTTTTCCCGTAATATCTTTCCTTAGTTGCCAAATACGCTTTGGATTATGTTTATGCTTTGTAAACAAGTCGGAATAGTAATTAGTATTCTTTTTTAATGATTTAAATGCTACTTCAAATTTTCTGTCTGTTAGGTTGGAAAAATTTAAAGTTAAATTAGATGATATTATAAACTCATCAATTGGTTTGTCATTAAGATAAGAAATTTTATTTGATAAGCTTATTCAGATTGAAGAAAAAAAATTCAGAAGCAATTTTATGAGGGTCATTAAATAATTTGTTTTTAATTTTTATTGCATTCGGTAATATTGTACTTTACTTATTTTTCCCCGTGATCTCTTTCATTAGTTGTCAAATACGCTTTGAATTATGTTTATACTTTGCGAACAAGTCGGAGAAGTAATTTCTTTTTGCATTTTCGCGGAGTTTTTCGAAATAATTTTTATAAATTAAGTAGTTATTTTTATGATTGACCGATTTATATTTTAGATATTTAATATACAGTTTTTGTTTTACTTTCGATGATTTTTTAAGTCCTTTAGTTATCCAAAGACATGATACGTCCTTGGCGTTAAGAATTATTTCACGAATAGGGAAGTTTGCGTCATAGATGGATTTAAATGTTTAAAAAAAACAACCGTAGATCAGGTTTATATCATCATTGAAGTTAATATTGCTCCAGTTTTGATTCGAAATTTGTTCCTTGAAAGATTTGAAATTATTTTTATTGTATACTCGCTTTTTTATAGTTGTTTTACTCAGGAGATTTAATTTATAGTTTGCATTTATACAAAAAAAAAAAAATTGGAAAGTGATTTGAGACATCAGTTTTAACAATACATTTTTTAAGCAGCTTGTTGAAAAAAATCATATTTAAAATTTTATCTATTAAGAAAGATAAATTATTTGTTATTCTTGTAGGTTTATATATTACAGGTATTGTTCCCGTTTCAAATAAGTCGTTGTAAAATTTTTTTATGTTTTGGTTTTTATTATACTCAAAAAAGTCCAAATTAAAGTCCTTTATTATGTAATATTTTTTCTTTCTTGAAACACCTCCACGTTTATTAACTTTATGTTCTATAAAAACTGAATTAAAACCTAGGAGATGAAGATTAAAAATAGAATCAAAAAATTATTTAGAGCACCATGTTTCCCTTAAACAAATTCTGTTAAAGAAATTTTCTGTTTCGCATAATAAATTTAAAAAAACTTTCAAAATTTTTTTTTAGACTTTGAATATTTACATGGATGACAATAAAATAATCACTATTTTGTTCCATATAAAAATAATTCCTTATTTTATTTGGATATAAACAAGAGCATTCAACCATGAACTATTTTAACGAAATTAGTGCATACTAATTTCGTTAAAATAGTTCATATCTGGATTAGATTCATCGTCTAAGTTAAAATAGATACTTTACTAAAAACTAAAAAATACTAAAAAAATTAAAAAGTTTTTTCAAAGTTATTGTTAATAGGTTTAGTCATTTTCGTAGTCAATTATTTTGAAAAACAATAAATAAATAAGTAGTATATTCTTTTATTTATATTTCTAAACGATGACATTTTCGTTCTCATTCCAAATATATCATAGGCAATTTTTAAATGCAATTTTTTTTAATGTGTTGAGAACAGTCCAATGATAATTAATTATATATTATATTTGTGTCACATGGGTTGAAAGAAGGTAAAGCCTTGTGTCTGGGGCTACCCTCTTGTTTTAAAACATGCCTTTTTTCTAACATTTTTTCTTTTATGTTTTGTATATTTTTAAACAAGATTAAATTTTTTGCTTCAAATTTAATAGATAAATGTTTATACTTTTAAAAAAGCCTATTGACACTTTGGTTCGGGGCTACCCAACTTTCCCCAAACAAACATATATAAATCTAAAATAAAAATACAAACAAATAAAAGTTTTAATGGTAGCATAAACAAATAAAAACATTGGTCAATTGTATTTTATGCAAAAGTGCACTATCATACTACATATAAATATCACGGCCACTGCAAACAGGGCTTGAGTAGTACTTTGGTACTCAAAAATGTTGGTCAAAGTTCTAATGACTTTTTTTTGCTGTTTCTATGCAAAGCTAACAATATCTTCTCATATAGAACTATGACCACATACTATGCAAAGCTAACAATATCTTCTCAAATAGAACTGTATAGAAAATCATAGCATAAAATTTTAATAAAATTTAATAAAACAAAAAGGTATAATGATAAATTAATAAACATAAAAAGTAAATAAATATAAAAAAAATATACAAATCACGATTCTCATTTTTTTTTTTAAATTTGCTTGCCAAAAATCTTTAAAATAAAACAACCGAACCGAAATTTTTTATGAATATTTTTAATCATTGAGGGGAAAGACGCCTATGATGGTATACTTAATTTAGAAGCTTCATTATTTAGTATTCTAAAGACCAAGAACAAAAGTTTTGATATGGATAAATTCTTTGTAAAATGTAGAACAATATTAACCCTAGAAGCTTTCATCAGTTTTATTTTTTTATTTTTTATTTTTATTTAAAAAAAAAGCACAAGTATGCCATCATAGGCAACTACTGTTCCTATGATGACATAGGGGAGGATGGGGCTGGTTAGCATCAAGGGTAACTGTACGATTTCATTTGACCTCAGAGTCTTCCCTCAGAAATGTCAGAAATTACGCCTAATCATCATAATTAACCCTTTCGTACTACACAGCAGCAAAAATTTCGCGCATGTGCATAAGAGATTTACAATTTAAGTTTCTAATAAAATTTTTTAGCATTAGTTTTTTTTTTGTTTTCATATTTTAAATGTTACATTGCATCTTATAGTTTGTTTACTAAATGGTTTGCAGTTGATTAATTTGAAACAATTCATATCACAGAAACACATATATGGTAAGAAATTTCTGTACAAAGCTCGAAAATAATGCTTTCAGGCCATAGACTCTTATTTTGTTTTCTATTGTAGGTGATTTTATGTGTGTATGTGTTTGCAGTTGTGGTTACACTTAGAAGATCTTTAGAGATGACATTCTGTTAAAAGTTTTAATTTTAAATGAGCGGGACTTTTCAATACATTATTATGAAATGTAATTAAAATAAAATGATATAAGCGGTAAACATATTACAATATATATATATATATATATATAATATATATATATATATATATATATATATATATATATATATATATATATATATATATATATATATATATATATATATATATATATATATATATATACATATATATATATATATATATATATATATATATATATATATATATATATATATATATATATATATATATATATATATATATTATATTATACTTCTTTCCATACTTGCCTAAATAAATTAGGAAAAAGTTTTTCTAGTTGCTTTCACTTATTAAATTGCTCAACGGTTTTATATTATACAAGGTACTAAAGTTAATTCTGCTTAGGCAACACGATCTAACTGGTTTATGCAAGCAACTGTACAGTTATTTTCAATATAAGTTATCTGTTTATAATAATTGAATTAGTCCTTTCAAAAAGGATACAAGTCCATTAAAATTTTATAAAATTAAAAACATGTTTTTTAAATAAAAAGAAATGAAAATGGTGCTAAAGATAGTATACATAGATAATCATAACACGAGTCGATCATTATAAAATTCGTATTTGTATATGTAAAGTAACTGATGATTATTTCGGAACCTTTGAAATTGTTTTAAAAAAACTCTTAATTAAGATAAATATGGATATCAACTTTTGCATCTGATAACTGATTTTTGTAACTAGTGGGAATTTTTATTTTAATGTTTAAAAAAAAAAAATGTTGGTTTAAAAAGTTTATCATGTCTTATCCTCTTTATAATTAATAATATATAGTATATTATAGATTTTATATTACAATTTTTAAAATTTGGAAGATACAATTACAAAAATTATTATTTGCAGCTTGTTTATCATATATAAAATACAATACTTGCAATTAAAATTAAGTACCACTTAACTGTAGAGTTTATATAGAGTTTTACTATAAACTTCAGATTTATTATTAAGGCTTTAAGGCTATTAAATAATTTATATATTCATATAAGTTTAATTTATTTGTTTCAAAATTTAATTTTCAAAAAACTAATTATGTTTATTATCCCTAGCGTAAGAACAGAGGAAGGGGGGGGGGCGAAAGGGGTAATAAGCCCTCCCCACCTAAAACACTACGGATGTGGGGAGGGGCGGACACTGCATTGAGCTCCCCCCTCCCATTTCCTAAACCGTTTTAAAAAAACGCTTATCATAGCAACAGCGGAATTATCGTTTTCCAGTCTGTAATGACTCAATCACAATTAAATATCACCATGGAAAAGTATATCCATAAGATTATTTAAGATACTATCGCATACTAACTATTTTTTCAATAAATGTGTGCTGGTTAAAGATACTAATCACGTTAAAAAGATGATTAATCACGTTGCGTTTCATAAAAAATTAAATAAATAGATCGTTTTCATCTATTTTGCTGTATCATACAAAATTGGGACTTTTTCAATTTTAATATATGTTTTCAGTCCCCCCTCCCCCCTCCTTAACTCCACTGTTTATTAATATTGAAATTTGTCACCATTACCTTTAGTTTTTATCAAACGGAAAACTTTTTTTTCTCTAAAGTGCGCTGAGTTAAAGTTCGTTTTGTTCTATAAAATGTTGAAGTATTTTAGAGAATTTATAAGGTATATATTTAATATTTATAAGATATATATTTAATAGACAACTTTCAATAAAAGTTTTCATATAAAACACTCCTATTAATCAAAGTTCCTTTTTTGATAAGTTTTAGGTAAAAAGTTCAAAGTGAATTATTTTTTTCATAAGTTGCTTTTATATGATCATAAGTCTTGTGGATAGGTTTAAATATTAAATTAACGTTTTTGTGTTTTTTATTTATAAGTAACAAGTTAAAATAAATACAGAGAATTTCTGGTCGAGAATTTCTCAGGAGAATCATTCAGTTTCCAGTAACGAATGTTGGAAAAATGTGCTTATTTTTTCTTCAAATCCTAAAATATTTTCAAATTTAAATATAAAGGATGCAAGTAGAAATTAAAAAACAGTAGAATATTTAGTTTATTTCTGTGGCAGATTTAAAATTTAATAATACTAAAAAAAATAAAGATATAAAAAAGTTTAACATTGCTTTAACATTTGCATTTAACATTTATCATGTTAATATCTCATTAAAACATCTCATTATATTAGATTTTTGAAGTATTCTGATTTAGGGGAAAGCGGGGCAACATGGCGAACGTGTTGAAAGCCCTGAGTTATTGCAAAACTATCAGCCGTGAAGCAATAATACTTTCTCAGTATGTTTATGTTATCAAAATCTTTCAATGCCCGCATGAATTTTTAGTTTGCAAATATTACAATTTGAAATAAATATTAAAATAAAAAGTTCATAAATTTGTTATCTGATCACGTGACTGGATGACTTATTATGCAATTTTTACCTCCAATTTTATAAAATTTTAAAAACTACTAATAAATCTAACTAAAGTAACACAAAATAAACACAAATCGCAAAAAACTACTTCTAAAGAAGTTAAACTTGAAGGACACCATAATTATGAGAAACCGAAAGTGAGGAATTTTTTTTTAAGCGCAAAAAATAAACTTATGCGTATAAAATTGCGTTGATAATATTTCAAAACACCAATTGGTGTTTTAAAATACAAGATGCAAATACAGTTTCGTTTTCAACCAATTTTAAGATTTTTTGTTGATTTGTTATATGAAAACCCATCTTGCCCCATTCGCCATGTTGCCCCGCTTTCCCCTATAATAAGTTATTTTTAACAGTTTTAATAATTGTAATGCGATGTTATTGTTTAATGCATTTAACTTCGTCCATTGCATAATAAATGACAAAAAAATATTAAATTCACGCAACCTATTGAAGACCTGCAAGCTAATGTTGAGTCACTATTGAAAAAAACGTTTTAAATTTAGAATTTGAAATAAAAGAGTCTTTGAAAAATTTGATGGATGAGGATGATCCAAGAAGTCATATTTAATAATTTGCGGAAAACACACCGCCTGGTTACTAGCATTTAATGCTAACAACTGTGAGAGCCGTGAGAAACGTGTCGTTTTAGCTGAATTTTATTGGGATTATTTTATTATGATTTATTTTACCTGTAATTAATTGCCGGCTAATAAAGAAAAAAAAAAAAATTATAAATGCCTGTAAATAAATCGATCAGTAAACAAGTTTTTTCAAAATACAAGTTTTTACTAATTATTTTAGAATTTTAATTAAATTTGAACATAGAAAATTAAATTATTTTCTCACTTAAACATATCATATATAAACATAACAATATGCAGTTTAATTGTAACTGTTTGTAATGAAATTGTTGTTGTTTTTAAGTATGACTTTTAGGAACTTTGTAAAAATGAGAAATAACAATTTTTGCTCAGTTTTAAAAGCTTAAAAAGCATTTTAAAAATATACCTTTTCGTCATCATTAAGACTGTCAAACTGAAGAATTGTTAAAGACATGACTACGCTGGTGACGTTGCCTAAAATATAAACATACTAACTTTAAAATATAGAGAAAAATAATCAAAAAATTAATAAAAACTACAATATTAAAAACTAAAATAAAATTAATAATAATAATATTAAAATATTAAAAACTAAAACAAGTATAATAATAATAAGAACAGAAAAAAAAAAAAAAAAAAAAAAAAATTAAAACGATAAAATGTTTTGATCAACTAAATGATAAAATCAAAAACATTTTTTAACCAAGCTGCGTTAGAAAAAATTTGTTTCCAATCGCAATACTGAGTTTCAACCGCTATAACTGGCACAGTTTGTGAGTCAGCTCATATGGTTATTCCGTGCAATACATAAAAATATGTTTTTAAAGTTAGTAAACGCCCTTATATAAGTTTTACGCACTCTGACGAGCGTGCTTCACACATCACGACTTTTAGGGTCAACTTACATGATATACTTTTTTGTTTGGTATGGTTCAATAAAAAAAAAATTTAAACACGATCGCAAGTGTCCCTGTAAAAAGAAATAAAAAAAAAATATCTACAAAACGGATTTGTTTACAGCAAAAGCAAAGGATATAAAGAATGGCATAATATTTTAGAGAAAACAAACATATATATATATATATATATATATATATATATATATATATATATATATATATATATATATATATATATATATATATATATGCATATATATATATATATATATATATATATATATATATATATATATATATATATATATATATATATATATATATATATATATATATATATATATATATATATATATATATATATATATATACAATAGATGCCATAAAAAAGCCATCAAACAAGCTACTGGCATTTGCTGGCATTTTTAAGGCACAAGTTAAACCATCCCATTATAAAACAACAGCACTTTTTAAAAAATACGTATATTGTTAAAACGTTAAGTTGAATTGTGCATTTGATGTGGAAACAAGGACTAGGATTTAGTCAAATATAGAATAGTGATCTTCCAAAATAAAAAATTGCACATCAAGAGTTATTGTTTTTAAAAAGAAAATGTTTGATTTTTAAACCTGAAGATATACCCTGGTTAAAACCATAAAAACTGCATAGAAAATCAACATCCATTTATTGATTTTTCATTATGATTATAAAATAATTACATTCACATGCTCAGCTCCTAAGGATTAGATGCATACTGCCAGTAACTTCTTCAGAATGTAATGCGAAATATGAAAATTAAAAAACATGGTTTAGTGCCAGTATGATTGCAAAAAGTCTTGGTTCAATAGCATTTAAAAATATCTACAAAAACAAAATAGTTGATTATACGCTCTCAAAATTATCTTTTCTTTACATCCTAGAAAATTGTGTGAAAATAGCTTAGTTTTTGATTAAAATGTTTCCGCCAATTTTTCAAAAAGTATTACTTTATCTACCCATATCCATTTTTTAACAATGCAAAGCATAAATATAACATAAAATATTGAAATAAATTATTAATTATTTTTAAACAAAATTGGATTTATTACAATTTATAAATCGCGCAAATTTAACTATGCCTTTATGCAAATTTTATGATGCCAATCTAGCATGATATTTGTTTAGTATTTTTAAAATGCCTTTGTTATTAAAAAAGGACAACCCCCCTAAAAGTTTCTGCGAGTCTGTTACCTTTTATTTAAATTTAGATTATAAAAAACTTTGAATATAATATTTTGGCAAAAAAGTTGTGTAGAAAACTTAGCTCAGATGTTTTAAATTAAATATAAGTAGCTTAATATAAATAAAGATACAATATTTAAATTATTTGAAATTTGAAAACACAGTTAAAATCATTTTGTAAAAATTAAAATGGTTTGAAACGGAAATGACTTAAACGAGATCCATAGCTTAGGTCCTCTATATTTTATTCAATATGCTGCCTAATATTCATTTTACATATGGTTGGCAACTCAGCAAAATAATATTTGCATAGAAATGCTTGTTTTTTTTTTAATCCATCAAACATTTATTTTAATATATAGTTAATATATAGATGCTGTGCACTCTGCAACTTTAAATGTTCTTTTAAAGTAAGCTCAATCGAATACAAACAGGTTTATTCATATCTATAAATTTAAATTGACGATGTTAAAAATTCATCTGTGATTATGTCAACTATGAACATGTTTATTATTATTATTTTTTTATTCAAGAGTATTTATTTATATACTTCTTAAACTTTTTAAAGCATATCTTAATTATTTCTTTTTTCTCTTTTTCGTAATTTTCTATTTCATTTCTAATTTATGTTAAAATATCTAATTTATGTTAATTTATGTTAAAATATTTTTTCATTAATTATTGAAGATCTTCAGATCCAATTCTTTTTGAAATTTTATTTTCTAACTTTTAAAACTTATTTGCTCACAGATTAAAAGCCTAAAAGTTTAAGGAGTTTTAAGGACAAGGTGTCAGATTTAGAAGATTTAGAAAAGAGAGTACAATTGCTTTTAATTGTGTTCAGAGAGAGTTTTTGGCTTTAAACCATTCATTGAGGTTGTCAAGTTCACGATTTTTAGTGGTAAAGGTTGTCCTTAGTGTTAAAGAGGGTATAAAAAACTTGAGTGTCGTCAACAAAAAGAATCAAGGCACTTGAAAACATATGACTAGCTAATCCTATAATATGACGAGTCAATAGATATATAAGACACCAAAATATCAAAAAACTAAAATACAGTGTTTATTATCATTAATTTAAAAACTAAAAATGTTTGCTCATACAATTAATCAAAAAAAAAAAAAAATTTGCTCTGATGAATTTAAATAGTTTGTTCAATAAATGTTCTTTACATTTTTCGTGTCACAAAAATCGACGCAGCAATATCGTGTTTTTTCAATAAACTTAAAAGGTTGCATAACATTAATTTTTCGTTAATCAAAATTATATTAGCATTATCAGCGAAATAAATAAAGGTTAAAAGTTAACTACACAGGCCAGTAATATAGCAAAAGTTTAACAAGTATAAAATAAAACCATTTAGGGTTACTCTTTTTGAAACACGTTAATGAATTATATTTTTGAGACTCAGCGAAGACATATTAATGAATAATATGTCTTCGCTGAGTCTCAGTAAGACTTGCAATAATCATGTTTTTGCTGAAAAACACATTAAAAAATAGAATAACTTCACTAAGTTTTATATTTTTTATCATTTTTTGAACATTATATTTTGCCGTTAAAGAAATGTTACAACCTACATAAATTTACAAATAAAGTAAATGGCCGTAGCAAGAAGAAAACATTATTTTGTTTAAAAAATATATTTTTACAAAATATTTTTTAAGAGTATAAAGTATAATGTAAGAAATAATATAAATGTTTACGAAAATATTACCATTAAAATCAGATCATCTTAATAATTTGGTAATACCATAAATAATTTAGATAAAACAAACAAACAAAAAAACAACAACAAAGAAAAAAAAAACAAAACAAAAACAAAACAAAGAAAAATAAAAAGCAAAAAAAGAAAGAAAAAGAAAGAACTAAAAAGTTAAAAAAAAACAAAATATTGCGATTAATGATAATGATTTATGTCAGTATTTATTTAATTTAGTTTTAAACTTGCTGGGTCATTGAATTAACTTAAATTAACTTAAATTAACTACATTGTTTTTTAGTTAAGATCAAGGCTACCGAGAGCTGTCACGCCGCCTGGGACAGCAATCCTGATTGGCGCCCCTATTTATCAAATTTTTTCTATATTTTATATCAAAGACCTTTTTTTTTTTTTTTAGATACCTACATTTCATTTGGCGCCCCTTGGATATATGCCGCCCGGGAAAAACTGTCCCTCGCGACCCTCATTCACGGCGACACTTGTTGATGTAGCATTTTAAATGATTTTATTTTAAGTTTACTAAGTCACAAAGAAAATTTTGTCATCAAACAAATTAAACATTCCAAAATACAGGTGCGTTTAGCTTAATAAGTTAAACCATCAACAAATTCATTTAAAATAGTTAATTACAATAATAAAAACTGTGTCCAGAAAGGATTAAAGAAATTATTCTCATATTCCCCGCTTTCTCATAATACCTTACTTGTTTTATTAACTAGCATGCAAGCGGATGCACAGAAGATGTTTTTGTTTATTTACTAGCTTGCAAACACATGCAAAGATAATATTTTTGATGCAAAGATGATATTTTTGATGCGATAATGTTATTGTATAAAAATATTTTGTATATTATTGCCCGAAACATCATGGAAATTTATTAAATAATATGTTGCATGCATTAATGTGTTTGCTTGCATAAGCAAGCAAAGAAATTTATTTCATATGAGCAACTAAAGTTGATCAGTTTTTATTCTGGTTATGCTTTTTTTCTTATAATATTTTAGCGTATACCAAATTATAAAAGTGTAAACACTAGACACCCCCTTTATTTTTCACCCATGCTCACTCCTAACTCTAATCATTTCTCGCAACAAACAATAGTGACAGTTTAATACTGCCAACATAAAGTGGCGAACAATTATAATAATATACAATTTTTAATAAATGATTTTTTTCAGCAGTTCGTAAGAATTATTAAAAATTATTTTACCTGTAAAATTTGGTCGCAAAAATGGGTTGTACGCTTGTCTTATTCTTGACCAAGTTTTAGAATATTCCAAATCAGAAGTACTGAAATAAACACTAATTAATTAAAAATTAATTAGTGATTAATTAATTAGTGATTAATTAAAAAAAACTAATTAAAAAAATAAATTCAATATTGAATTTCAGACATCCAACAGCAAGTAAAATATTCTTAGGCTTGTCTGAACCTAAGAATATTTTACTTGCTGTTTTACTCTGAATCTAACAGCAAGTAACATGTATTACTTTAAAACTTGTGACTAGAAAACATGTTTTTCAAAATCTAGGGTGTATATTGGCTGTGATAAACAGTTTGTTGTAAAGGTTCCTAAGTTCAAGCGAGACTTCTAAAAGATACAATTTGCCTAAACTACCTGTTCAAAACCGGTTTTAGCAAATTGGGTATTTGGTATTTGGATGCGGAATCAGCTAATAATTAAACTTTTTTTTTATTTTTAAAATTTTTAACATTAAATGGTAGTTTTGATGCAGCAATCACTTTTAAAAATCTTTTTTTTGTTTTAACCTTTTGTTGATGTTCTATTTTGATCATAATTAAAAGAGATCTTCACTTTTGATCGTGATTAAAAGAGATGTTCCCTTTCAATCATAATCAAAGGAGATGTTCACCTTTCAATCATAATCAAAGGAGATGTTCACCTTTGATCATATTCTCGATTTCATTATAAAGATTCATTAAAAAAAGTGAAAAATGTTTTTTTTTAAATAGTTATGTAGAAAATTAAGTAAAAAGTTTATACGCAACACAAAAGCTTTATCCATTACTGTCACTTTTAAATTTCTGATTCATTAATAAGTTTGAACTAGTGTTTGTCTGCTACTTATTTGGGTGTGAAGAATTTAAAACTCAAAGAAAAAAATCACTGAAAATTTCTTATTTGCTTTTCAGCAACCACTTCTCTTCTCTAAAAAGTAAAATACCATTGTTTTAGAGCTATTTTAAAAAACTTAGTAAAAAATATTGAATAACCAAAATTTAAATACTATACTATATTTTGATATTTTTATAAATACCTCTCAAATCTGGATGCGTTTGTAAAGCGTGCACATAGAATAATTAAAACCATACAACTATTATACGTCCATTTAAAAGCTCTAAAAACATATAAAAACGTTTACTCGTAGATGCTTTAATATAAAAACACACATTTACACTTAGTTTCCCCTAAATTGCTTAGCTAATATATGTATACTTAAAAACGCCTAAAAAATGAAAACCTTAATTTTCCATAAAAATAATACAAAAAAAAATGAAGGGTTTTTTTAAATAATTTTATTTTTGAAAAATTTACAAAATTCACAAAAATTAAAGTTAATATATTTAAACAATTAAAAATAGTTATATTTAAATATTTAAACAATTAATTAATCTTTTTCAGAAATTTTTCAAACGAAATTGTTGAAACAAAACTATACCCATAAAAAACCCAGAAATCAATAGACGTGTTTATTAAACACGTCTATTGACTGCTAGATGCTTTATGGACTTCAGTTATGCGGTTTTTTATGGACTTCAGTCCGTTAAGAACCGCATAACTAAAGTTCATAAGGCATCCAAATGTCTTTAGACGTGTTTAATAAACACGTCTACTGACTACTGGACGTTTTTATTAAACACGTTTTAAACGACGTGTTTATTAAACACGTCTATTGACTACTGGACGTGTTAAACACGTGTTAAACACGTCTTTAACGACGTGTTTAAGACTACTTATGTACTTAAAAACGTGATAAAACCTTTTTTGCCCTCTGAGAACAAAGGGATTAATTTATATTGATGTTGCTGTCAACAACAGTCATAAATTTATATTTAAATCAAGCAAGAAAGAATCTTAAAAGTCGATAGCACGACTGCAGTATTGACAAACGATAGGAAAAGGTCTTAATATACTAACTGTATTTAAGAGGTCTTAACCAGTGAGCACAAAACAGTTTTTAGACGTCTAAAACAGTTTTCAGACGTCTAAAGCGTTTTAACAATTTAAAGCGTATTAAGACATACTTTAGACGTTTAAAACACATCTTGAGCACACTATAATTCAATACAAACAAACAAAAAATGTTCCATCATTTATGCGATTTTTAAAATGGAAAATTACCCTTTAAAAATAACGCCATTTGTGTCAAGACAAAATTACGCGACTGCTAAGCGGTGTATCACAACGCTGTGAAATAAAAGGAATGACATCTCCTTGATGGAATTTTACTTGGCAGACTTTAATTAAAAATTACTTTGATTTAAAAGCACAATTTTTCAACAAGTTTCTTTGTTTAATTAAAAGCTTGTTATATTTGCACTAAATTGAACAGTCCGCTTCACTAAATTTCCTAATGTATTCTAATAATATTTCAACTTTTGTATATTTTTAGATTAGGTATTTTAACAGTATTTCAATTTTTGTATTCTTTACATAATAAAAAATTAAATTTTGAATAAAAATATTTGTTTATGCGTTGAGCAAATTATTTATTTGATTTTTTGTAGTGGTTTGGTAAATTTTGGTACAAAATGAGTTAAGAAAAAGTTTTTAAAAAAGTACATATTTTTTATTGATTTTGTTTAGTTCTAGGCATAACCTTGGTCTATTTTAACAAAATATGGTTTTATTATCACAGCACTTGCTACTTTCAGTTTTGTTATTAATTGGCCTTAACGTAAGGCAAAAATTGAAGTCTTTGGTCTTGAAAATGTTTACATAGGCCTTGGCTTTGAAACTCCTAATCTAAGCCTTGACCTTAAAAGTCTTGGCCTTATCCTTAGCCTTGTATCTTTTGGACTTGATCTTTTCCTAGGCCTTGTAACTTTTGGTCTTGGTCTTGCTATTTTTGGCCTCGTTAACAACTCTGGCACCATGAATAAAATTTTAGGTTTTAGATTTTATTTTTCCTACTTTAGTTTAAAAAAATTGTATTTAATTTCATTAACTATCACTCATTTTTCAAATTATTATCATTACATTAATGTAATAATATTACATTAATTATATAAAATTATTTAAAAATATTATTTAAATTATCATTAAAAATTATCATTATATAAACAATTATTATTATACATAATGTTCCTTTGCTCCAATGAAAATTCAGCACTCAATGAGTTCCAGCACTCAATTGCATAGTTTTACTTTTGAAGTTCATTTTTAGGAATTATGTTTTTTTACGACAATAGTTTTTACTTATTTTGTTTTACATTAAATTATCTAGATTAAGGTCTTTAGATTTAGTTTATTTCGATTGTAAAAATCAATGACATCACCTGAAAAAGAGTGCCTGACGGTTAAGTTTTTTATTTATTGCTCAATATGCAAATAAATAAGTTTAATTTGTTTTGCTGTACAATTGTTTATACATTTCGGATAAAAAACTAAGAATGAATATAGTTTTTTTCTGTTTGGAAACATTAAAGAGTGACTTAGGTGCATTCATTCCTACTACGTCAAACTTTTGTCAGTTCTAGATAGGTGTAGCAGAGTGTACATAAATCGACTGAGGGTTTAGGTGTGGGCATTCTTAAAACAAAAGAAAAGTATTTTAATATCTATTTAAATTGGGTTTATAAATTATTTCAATTTAATTAAAAAAATTATTAGGTTAATTTAAGCAAGAATTTCAACTGAAATCATCGAAATATTTAATAATAACTTAAATACGCGCGTACAACTAAGAAAAAAATAATTGTACGCGCGCACAAATAAGGAAAAAATAATTGCACGCGCATACCTACCAAAAAAACTCATTTTTTCAAATTTTTTTAAATTTAAAGTGTTTCAATTATTAATGATATTACTTTTAATTTGAGACTAAAATTTTTCATACCATTGAACTTTAGCACTTTTATTATCAATTAACAGTTTTTTAATAAAAATAAATACCACATATAACAATGTAAAAATACAAGTAAACATATTAAAACGACTGTTATATCATAAATTCGAAGCGATTTTTTCCAAATTTATTATAACGATAGAGGTTTATGAAGTAAAAACAATTTATTGTAAAAGAAATTTTCGAAACACTGAACGATTTAAAGTTTTAAATATACTTGTTAAATTAGATGTTTCATAAAACTACTTCTTAGAAATCTTTAATAGCCACGATATAAATTTAGAAACATTTTGCAGACAAAACTACTTTAGTATTGGAGACATAATTAGGATAATCCTTAGCATGATATTACATAATTAGAATGATTTTAAAATTAAAATTAATTTAGTTTAAAAATTCGTTACAGAAACATTTTTTAAAACTTAGTAAAGTGAAAAACCTGCAAACTTATAAATTCAACTTTTAAATCAGTTTATCAATATATGACTTTTCCATTTTGTAATATCAATACAAAAAAATTCTTAATCAAGATGTGATATCAACTAAAAGTATTATGGATCCTGATATCAATGCATAATAGTTACATATCATGTTTAAATATCACTATGTCATAATATCAATATATGATAAAACAAAACATAAACTTTAATTTGAAAAATAACTTTATAAAATAAAAATTTACAAATACAAAAAAAAACCTTTGATAATCCATTAGTTAAAAAATTGTAAGATAAACAATTATAAGCTCCTTTAAAGTAAACAACTAATTCAAAAAAAAATAAAAAAAATACGTATAATAATTGCAATATAAAACTGCGTTTAAATTTAAAAACAGTTTTCAACTATAAACATCATTAAATAATAAATAATATATAAAATCTATATATAAAATACAATGATTTGGCGAGTGAAAAATGACGGCAATGTATGAATTATAAAAAATTTAAGCAAGAACATTTTTAATTATTTAACAAAAACTAAAATATGAATTCATAATGTATTTGCCTTTTAATATAAAGATTTTACTAACTGTTTACGTGCACAGTTGTTTAGATATTTTATTAAAATTTGTTAATGAACTCTTCTTACGCAGAAAAGTTATATAAATTAAGATATTAACACACACACACTCACACACACACACACACACACACACACACACACACACACACACACGCACACACACACACACACACACACATATATATATATGTGTGTGTGTGTGTGTGTGTGTGTGTGCCAAATATTATTTATAATATTTATAAATATTATTTATTAGCCAAAGCACATAAAATAGTAAGCCATTTTAAGGATTCATTGAAGTAATAAGGTTAAGTTTTTGCAAAAGCAACAAAATGAAATACCAATATTTTAAGAGGAAGAAGTTCCCACTTGTTGCAAATATAAGCACTTAATTTTAGAAAGACATCAGAAACTTAAGAAAACAGTTTAAATATATTTAGCTGATCACAACGAGCTTCCAACAATTACATTTAATGGATAAATAATCATTGAAAATATCTAACATGTTTTTAAAATCTTTTGCAACTTTTTAAGTTCCGAAAATTGTAGTTAGTCGATATTCAAGTTTATATACTTTACAAAATTTTTTATTGAAATCAATTAAAAAGATGATAAAGCTCAAACAATAAAACAACTTTCAGCATCTTTAAACAAGAGATTCATTTTTCAAGAGAATCTGAAAATTATAAATAATGAAAGGTACCTGCTCCCCACCATTATTCATCTTCGCTACATTTTCAAATTTTTTCCTATTGATAAGAGGGAGCTAGCAAGACCAAGGTATTAGAGGCAGAAGTAAAATTTTAAAAAATCATAATGAACAAATAATAATCAAAATTGGAAGTTATCAATATTGCTTAAATCTTTTAACATCAAAAAACGCAAAAAAAGAAATTTGACAGAGAAAGGTTTTTATTCTTAGGTTTTAGAAATTGCAGAAACAGAAAAAAATTTTAGAAACAGAAAAAAATAGACGGGAAATCTTTATATGAAAGCATTTTTATTATAACTAAAATTCATTTAGTTATTATTCAATTATAAAATACTACTTTATCTCATCGATAGTTGTTTTATGTTTTTTTATTTAATTGTTTATATTTAATATTTTATTATTAACTATTTATTATTAAAATTAATCTATATTTATATTTAATTCTTGTAAATGTTTTTAAGATGTTTTTAAAAATTGCTTTAGTTTTAACTTTTTTTCATATTATTAATTTTTAACATATATAGTATTATTATTATTATTAAAATATAAATTATTAAAAAAAACATCTGTAGCAAACTAAATTGTTTATGTGACGCAATTTATGAGATTGAAAAAGTGACCAAGAGAGCCGTCTAATTGCATGTGTAACTGGACGGCTCCCTTGGTCACTTTTTGGTTTATAAAGACCCAAGGTGTATATAGACCTTGGAGATATGATAATAGAATCAGCTTGTATATAGTGTCATTAGGTAAGAATTAGAAATAACTGTCAAGGTTATTTAGTAGGAGAAAGAAAATTTTACGACACAAGCAGAGGGGAAATTATAACTCACGCTCTAGACATACGGAGCAAATAATAAAACAATCTTATACTGGCTTCCATAACTAAAAACATCGCACAATATACAGCAATAAAATAAAACAATCAGATAGGAAAATTGTAAAAAAATGATAATAAATGATAGTTAGAAAATATGTGTATGCAAAAAGAGCGCACCCTTCAAGATTTGAACTCTGAAACTTAACATGCTAATCCAGCATGCTATAGTGCCGATATGCAATCTAAAAATAAATATATGTAATACAATTCATAGTCTAAGCACTAGACAATAAATTGAAAACTTGTAACCACCTTTGTAACAACAAGATATATAAATATTGTAAAGTAACAAATATAATATACAGCTCATAAAGCGCTAAAGTTCATAAGTGTAAGAGGTAAAAAATGTTGGTGCTATGTTAACCATTAATAAAGCAACAATAAGCTGTTTTTATTTTTTTGAATAAGATGATCATATAAATTCAAATCGATTTGTACTATGTACTTGCTGCTCAAGAAAACGTTTTTTTTTTTAATCACTCAGTTATAAGTAAAATAAATGATGGTTGAAATTATTGGAAACATGAAGAATGGTTACCACTACTAAAAGAATTATCTCACCTCTAAAGAAATTATCCCACTGCTAAATATACTATCCTACTGTTAAAAGAATTATACCACTGCTAAAAAAATTATTTTTTGAGTTATTAGCGATGCTGTATTTTTTAAAAGATTATTTTTTGAATTGGAAATATTTGAATTTGAAAATACTTCTAAGAAAAAGCAAACGAGTTTGTTACCGGTGCAACACGCATTTAAACATTTGTCGTTTTTTTAGGCTTTGTTATATTTGTCAATCATTTTTGATTTTTTTAAATTTATATTATTTCAGACCATCTCTAACATTCACACGCAGCTGAAGTGATTTGACAGTATTTTTGGTGCTTTTTTGTCGACTACATCCTTTAACTTGACTTTTTTGATAGACCCTGTTCTCCAGCACCATAATTGTTTATAATCATGTTTTACATTGATTTTGTTAAATTTTTAATATGATTTTGTATGCTCATTATAGAATTTTATTATTTTTCATTGCAGGAAAAAGATGAAACAGGTACAATATCTATTCAAACACAGACAAAAGTGTGAAGGAGAAAGTGTCTTTTTGCAATATTTCCAAATTTGAATTAGATCATAATAAAAATTATTATCATGAATGCAATTATTATTCTAAATTAAATAAGAGACTCGTTATTTATTATATATTTGCTGCATATATATGTATACATCTAGTACGTCATTTCCGTTGTTGTTAATATAAGAACTTTTACAGCCTTGGACTTGTTGCCATTATGAGGCGGATCAAATAAAATAGTCTTATTTACTTACACAATTAGTCTGTTTTAATTTCAAAATAAACTTCAAAGAAAATGGTGAAAAGGTATTCATTGATTTCTGAGTCAGCAAAACCAATTGATAAGTATAATTAATTTTGTTATAATTGATAACAACAAAACCATCGATAACTATAAAACAGCGAATAACAACAAGAAAATAATTTAGTTTTTAATACTAAAGGAAACTAAACTTTTGATAAATTTTTTGAGTAGTCAAGCTACACACAAGCTCCATAAATAATTTTTAATACCGTTACAAGGTGCTGTGTCTGTAATTATTAAGTCATAGGAAAGTTCTTTCCCAGCAAACATTTGGTCTAAAAAGAAATGTTTGCTGGGTTAATGATCAGAAATAAAGACCTTAATGATTTGAATAACTTTGGGAGTGTGGTGAATCTCAGGTTTACTCAGTTTGATGTTCAAAAGAATTATGCTTTGCGCTTTAAGAGAGCAACCCAGTATAAAATAGACACGACCCAGTATGAATGGAGTTAAAATACACTTATGTAAATATAAAATTTGAAAAGATATAATAAACATAACCTTGCTCAGCAAACTGCACATTCTAACATCTAGTGCAATATCTATCCGTTTTTCTCTATGTTATCTTTCTAATACGACTACTTCTTGCTTTTTATTATTATTACTTCAGTACTTCAAAAAAATCACATACTCTTTGTCTGTGGAGACACTCTGTAAAAGCTAAATTTGTTTTCAGGCATCTTAGATATTGTGGCCTTCATATGACATTTACAATATCGATTTAATTGGCATGTTTTAAATATCATGTTATTTCATCATGCATTTTGTAGCATAGATGCTAACAACTTTATATTTTATTGGCTTGTGTTTATCTTTGTAGCTAACTCGCTTTCTTTATCTGACTTTCCTGATTCATGTAATAATAATAATAAATTATACAAAATGAAATGTTGTAAAAAATATTTTTTATTTACTTTATTTCTTGGGGTTTCTCTTTTTTAAAGAATTAAATCGGTGTTAGGTAGATTAATAAAACATGTGCATTAAACCTAAAGGATTAAAAGATAAAAAAAGTTTGAATAATATTTATTATAAATATAAACCCCTTCATTATAGCATATCAGGAAACTACTATAATTAAAGCGTGTAAAAGAAAAAAACGTAGTTTCAAATAATTGCAACTGGAAAATTAAATTTTCAATTTGCGTAAATTACGATTTTAGGAGAGTAAAATCTCAAAATGGCAGCAAAAGTTTTTCAGATTTTTTGTTGGGGAGGAAAAATCTCATACAACATCTTATTTTCAGGTGAAGCAAAAAAAGTGACCAACAGTTAAACTCCACTAACTAAAATTACATAAACTAATAGGAAAACAAGTCAGATAAACTATGGCTTTTAAATTCAATAAATTAATTATTGTTGGAATGATTTTAAATCTTGTTTGACTTCGGATAAGTCTTTAAGCCAATTAGTAAACGACGATTCATTCATTTTACTATGTAATGTCGTTTTTCAAAGCGTTTTGCGTTGTTTTATTTTGTTACATGTAGTCACTTTTTTATGTTTTTATTTCACGCTATTTTCAACATTAAAGGCTTCATTTAAATACATTTCGTAGCCGTGACAAAACTTCAATAATAGCAAAAAGATTTTGTAAAATAGTTGACGTACTTTAGTCATAATGCATCTTAAATAATACGTCATATAACCTAATACGTCATATAACCTATTACGTCATATAACCTAATACGTCATATAACCTAATACGTCATATAACCTAATACGTCATATAACCTAATACGTCATATAACCTAATTACAAT